TCCGCTGCAGGCACCCATAACCACAGCTGCTGATTCAGGCTTTTCCACCAGCAGCAGAGGGACACTATACCAGCGCTGGTACACGTTTCTATCAGCACAGGTAGAACAGAATTGGTGGTTTATCCCACAGTTAGGCTCAAAAAACCACCAGAATCCCCAAAAAACCACCTGCGTGTTTAACAGTGTATTTGGCCGTGAGTTGGGTCCGGCAGTCGGAGTGGCCGGGTCAAGGGACCGCAGTGGCGGCGGACGTGGCCGTGTTTATGGAGGGCCCTGCTGTCGCTGGTGCTGCTGCTGCTGCTGCTGCTGTTGCTGCCGCTGCTGCTGCTGCTGCTTCTGCTCCTGCTGCTCCTGCTTCCGCTGCTGCTGCTGCTCCTGCTCTGCCACTGATGCGGCCGCTGATGTGCGACACTCTCGCGTTCGGCTCGGGCGCTCGATGAAGAATGTGAATGGCAGTGTACCGGAAGACGTGCGCGACGGCAAGAAGCCAGAGGGTGCACCAGGACGAGAGATTGATTGGGCTCGCAGAGGACACTACCACCACCCCGCCGGCCCCTGCGCGTCGCGCGGCGCACCCCAAGAAGAAGGAGGAAGGGGAGGAGGATCTGATGACAGTATGAAAAGTATTCGGCGCGCCGTCTAATGGGGGCTGCGGCGCAGCAGCCTCTCGATCCGTTCCGCCGATGAGCAACGCCGAGGAAAGAGGAGGAGAGGGACGTCGTCGTCGTGGCCGTGGCCGCGGCCAGACGGAGTGCGCCAGGTCAGGCAAGGTGACGCGCGTGCGGCGCGGCGGTGACACACCAGGACCAGGGCCGACCAGGGCAGACGACGCGTCGCGTCCTCGCCTGCCATGCTTTCTTGTCAAGCGCGTTTGCGGGAGTTGTCGGTTCACCGCGCGACTGTCCTGCTGAAAGGCGACACTCCCTCTTCCCTCCCACCTCTCTGACCCCTTCGTCTCTTCTCTCTCTCCCCTTCTCGGGCCGTCGAGGTGTCGCCTTACCTCGGCATTGTTTTCCGCCCCGCGCACAGCACAGCCCGCCCTGCGACGTCTTATTCACGACTGTCTGTCTGGCGCGTCCAAAGCTCTCGTCTGAGCCTCGGCTGCCGCTCTTCAGCGTCCTCTCTGCTCCTCCTCGACATGGTGCTCGTCCTGCTCGTCCCGGAAGTGGCGCCAAAGCCATCTCGGCTGTCATTTATCTCTGACGGGCAGCGCCGCGCGTCAAAGGCTGTCCCGACCGTGTCCTCGGCGCCCTGCCCGCGCCCCTCCTGGAGGCCTTCATCCCGCCCTCCCGCCGCTCCACCGGGCCGGCCGGCCGGCCGCTGCGGCGGCAGGGCGGCGCGAGGGACACGGAGTGTTTGGGCGGCGCGCTATGATTGTCCCCTTTGCACTCGACTGGTCGATTTCGTTTCACTTTTCGCAACAACAATTATTCGTTGTC